TTGACATACTGTCCCGTTTTCTGTTTTGGACCCTCTGCTAGGTTAGGATAAAAGCACTTTAGTACGACAGTTTCTTGACGTTGAGAAATTTTAGGAGGACGAGCTGGGTTATCACAGGGAAAGACACATACAGAGGGAGGAGAGGGCCGCCAGAGAGAATAAGATAAATGGTCATGGCTGGGAATGAACATGAAATAAGCCAAGATAAGAAGGGCAAACCAAGACATAAGGGAAACAAACTTGTCTCCAGAGCAGCCGAGGAGAGAATGAGCCTACAAGATACCTCAAGAAGATATCGCACCTCAAGAAGCTGGAAACCGAACAAAGACATTCTTATTGGCAACAAAAAATACTGACAAGTATTTACAAGCAACGTTACCTCTGCAAGAAGTGGTAAATACAAAGCTGCCGCTTCACAAGAAGCAACATAAGACACTACAAAGCTATTCGACAAGACAAATTGTAACAGTGGTAGGAATTAAGGAGCGAGCAGGAGGACTGGAAGCAGGAGGAAGGATGCAAGTAGGAGGACTGAAGATGACAGGCCATGTGCAGGAAGAGCTCCTGACAGGGACACGCATGACGAGGACTGAAATGTAGACAAGGACTTCTACACGGATGTTATGGTCATGTACACCTGTTCATTGACGGTTGAGAGGCGGGACCAAAGAGCCAGAGCTCAACCCCCGCAAACATAACTAGGTGAGTTCACACACCACACACACACACACACACCACACACACACACACACACGCACACACCACACACACACAACACACCACACACACACACACAACACACACACACACACACACACACACACACACACACACACACGCACACACACACACACACACACACACACACACCACACGCACACACACACACACACCCACACACAACCACACACACACACACACACACACCACACACACACACACACACACACACACAACACACACACACAATCAAGGCCAGGATAAGTTTACATCCCAGGGTTGCCAGCATCAGGTAAACTTGTCTTCGGTCCCCCAAAATCAAAATCAAATCCCACACATTTATACGATACAGTTCAGCATGCCTCTAAATTGCTGCGGCCGCCATACACAGCAATCATGCGTTCAATCACTCAGCATCGAGGTGCAATTAGTCAGCACAACCCAGAGCATCAAAGATTCTGCCGTTGTCATGGCAACATCTCTCACTCGAATTTTATATTCATCTCGCCCCCCCCCCCCCACATACTTCTATCATCTTCATTTATGTCTTAATTTCTTTCGTCTGGCCTTCCATTAACATCTAATGGAAAGGTGGAGAAATTGTGCAACATTCATATGATTCAGAAGTGGAGAATAGGATGGGAAGGAATGATAGGAAGGTACTAAAAGAGAGAGAATGAGGAAAGATGAGAAAATAGGCCAAAAAGTGGATCTTCTCCATTTTCATCGCGCGTTCAACTGCACTTCCAACTCTTGCTTGCCTTTACACTCTTTCTGTATCCATCTACTCCTCAATATCGGTGTTGAACTGTCACTATGTCCTCAACGCTCTACCATCCACCTTCTACTTCATCCAACAACATTCTCACCCTCACCCATCATCCAGCACCTCACCTTGTAGCCTGTGAGACAATGGCATCTTCCCATCTTATTTATTCTCGCTCTAGAGAATACACGGCTACATTTTTCATCTATAAATATCCGCAAATTCACCGACATCTCCCTATCTACCTGTTATTGGTTCCAGGGATCAGTGGCCCCGCGGCCCGGTCTCTGACGAGGCTTCGTGGTTCTGATCAACGAAACGTAGCTGGTTTGCAGCCTTGATTGATCACAGCCCGGTTGATCAGGTATCGATTGAAAATTATGTATGTGTGTGTGTGTGTGTGTGTGTGTGTGTGTGTGTGTGTGTGTGTGTGTGTGTGTGTGTGTGTGTGTGTGTGTGTGTGTGTGTGTGTGTGTGTGTGTGTGTATTCACCTAGTTGTGTTTGCGAGGGTTGAGCTTTGCTCTTTCGGCCCGCCTCTCAACTGTCAATCAACTGTTCACTAATTTTTTTCCCCACACCACACACACCCCAGGAAGCAGCCCGTAACAGCTGACTAACTCCCAGGTACCTATTTACTGCTAGGTAACAGGGGCATTCAGGGTGAAAGAAACTTTGCCCATTTGTTTCTACCTGGTGTGGGAATCGAACCCGCGCCACAGAATTACAATGCATGGGCCGCATACTCCAGGATTGGTCTTACATATGTGGAGTACAAGATTCTGAATGATTCCTTACACAGGTTCCTGAACGCTGTTCTGATGTTAGCCAGCCTCGCATATGCCGCAGTTAATTTTTTTATGTGGGCTTCAGGAGACAGGTTTGGTGTGATATCAACTCTTAGATCTTTCTCTCTGTCCGTTTCATTAAGTACTTCATCTGTGTGTGTGTGTGTGTGTGTGTGTGTGTGTGTGTGTGTGTGTGTGTGTGTGTGTGTGTGTGTACTCACCTAATTGTACTCACCTAATTGTGCTTGCGGGGATTGAGCTTTGGCTCTTTGGTCCCGCCTCTCAACTGTCAATCAATTGGTGTACAGATTCCTGAGCCTACTGGGCTCTATCATATCTACTTTTGAAACTGTGTATGGAGTCAGCCTCCACCACATCACTTCCTAGTGCATTCCATTTATTAACTACTCTGACACTAAAAAAAATTCTTTCTAACGTCTTTGTGGCTCATCTGGGTACTAAGTTTCCACCTGTGTCCCTTTGTTCGTGTCCCACCCGTGCTGAAGAGTTTGTCTTTGTCCACCCTGTCAATTCCCCTGAGAATTTTGTAGGTGGTTATCATGTCTTCCCTTACTCTTCTGTTTTCCAGGGTGTGAGGTTCAGCTCCTTTAGCCTTTCCTCGTAGCTCAATCCTCTCAGTTCCAGGAGGTGTGTGTGTGTGTGTGTGTGTGTGTGTGTGTGTGTGTGTGTGTGTGTGTGTGTGTGTGTGTGTGTGTGTGTACTCACCTAATTGTTTACTCACCTAATTGTGCTTGCGGGGGTTGAGCTTTGGCTCTTTGGTCCCGCCTCTCAACTGTCAATCAACTGGTGTACAGATTCCTGAGCCTATTGGGCTCTATCATATCTACATTTGAAACTGTGTATGTGGCTCATCTGTGTGTGTGTGTGTGTGTGTGTGTGTGTGTGTGTGTGTGTGTGTGTGTGTGTGTGTGTGTGTGTGTGTGTGTGTGTGTGTGGTGTGTGTGTGTGTGTGTACTCACCTAATTGTTTACTCACCTAATTGTGCTTGCGGGGGTTGAGCTTTGGCTCTTTGGTCCCGCCTCTCAACTGTCAATCAACTGGTGTACAGATTCCTGAGCCTATTGGGCTCTATCATATCTACATTTGAAACTGTGTATGTGGCTCATCTGTGTGTGTGTGTGTGTGTGTGTGTGTGTGTGTGTGTGTGTGTGTGTGTGTGTGTGTGTGTGTGTGTGTGTGTGTGTGTGTGTGTGTGTGTGGTGTGTGGTTGTGTCTGTTTGTCTGTCTGTCTGTCTGTCTGTCTGTCTGTCTGTCTGTCTGTCTGTCTGTCTGTCTGTCTGTCTGTCTGTCTGTCTGTCTGTCTGTCTGTCTGTCTTTTGAAGACCATGAGAGATCTACCAGCTCTGCCTATTATTCTTAGTGTTGCATAGCCTTGGGATGTTAATGTTGATGGAACCGTCTCTGAGCAGCTCTGAGTGCTCAGAGGCGCACTCACACGTACCAATTGCAACTCTGCTTCACATCGGAGGTATTTTACACACCTGCTGGGCCTGGCCTCCTGGAGAGTTATTTACGTGAGTAGATTTTTACCAGAGCCTCTTAATACTTTCCAAGTGTAAATTATTAGTTAACACTCTCGCCTGCGCTCTAGAGAATACAGATTTACCAGTTTTAAGCGGCCCTAGTTATTCAGATGTTTTATTAAGTAAATTCTCGCAGTAAAAAACACTTTTGAACCTTCTCCAAGTCAGCAATTTCTTCAGCTTTGAATGGGGCTGTTAGTGTTGCAACAATATTTATATTCTAGACAGCATAATTGTCTTGAAAGTTATCATCATTGGTCTGGCACCTCTTGTGTGAAAGGTTCTTGTTATCCAACCTTGAGGTTACCTTGAGGTGCTTCCGGGGCATAGCGTCCCCCGCGGCCCGGTCGTCGACCAGGCCTCCTCGTTGCTGGACTGGTCAACCAGGCTGTTGGATGAGGCTGCTCTCAGACTGACGTACGAATCACAGCCTGGTTGATCAAGTATCCTTTGGAGGTGCTTATCCAGTTCCCTCGTGAACACTGTGAGGGGTCGGCCAGTTATGCCCCTTATGTGTAGTGGAAGCGTGTTGAACAGTCTCGGGCCTCTGATGTTGATAGAGTTCTCTCTCAGAGTACCTGTTGCACCTCTGCTCTTCAACATGGGTATTCTGCACATCCTGCCATGCCTTCTGGTCTCATGTGATGTTATTTCTTTGTGCAGGTTTGGGACCTGTCATTTTTCTTACAGTTGTGACAGCTACTTTATTGTGATCTTTAAAAGTACGGTTTTCCGACGTAATTATTCTCAGGTCTTTTATATGGCTTTTCCTTTGACAAAAGAGTGATTTGACTGCGTTTTATATATATATATATGTGGTTTCCGTTTTAATATTTTAGTTTGTCTCTTCTTCAATCTTTGTTTCCTTATATTACATATATATTCCTCCTTTACATACCTCCTCTTATCATCCCTACACCTCTCCCCCCCCCCCCACTCTCTCCCTCCCTCCTTCCTTCTCAATTTACCCTGCCTTCTGCTCGCTACTCTTCATGGTTAAACATAGTCTCTTCTCAATAATAAAATAACGGTAATTTTGGTGTGGGGTAGAGTGGAGGAGAGTGTGGCGTGGCCCGGGGTCGAACGTGGACAGCCTGGGAAGCAGACCAACACACTACCAGATGACAATGTCGCCACGCCTCCACCTCACAAGACTTGATCCTGAATTTGAATGCAAGTTCTGTTCACCGTGTACCGGAAGGTTCTCTCTTGCGCGACGTGGCGGAGAGGGCTGGTGGCGTGGTGGAGAGGGCTGGTGGCGTGGTGGAGAGGGCTGGTGGCGTGGTGGAGAGGGCTGGTGGCGTGGTGGAGAGGGCTGGTGGCGTGGTGGAGAGGGCTGGTGGCGTGGTGGAGAGGGCTGGTGGCGTGGTGGAGAGGGCTGGTGGCGTGGTGGAGAGGGCTGGCGGCGTGGTGAAGAGGGCTGGCGGAGAGGGCTGGCCGCGTGGCGGAGAATGCTGGTGGAGAGGGCTGGCCGCGTGGCGGAGAGGGCTGGCCGCGTGGTGGAGAGGGCTGGCCGCGTGGCGGAGAATGCTGGCGGAGAGGGCTGGCCGCGTATCATGAGATGATACACACATCAAACTTGTGTTTACGTTCCTGTAGCCGTCGCCAATCCCCCCCCCCCCCCCCCCCCACCTCCCTGACAGTCCCACGCGCACCTTCGTGATAGAATTACACGTGCAACATCGAAGAATAAATGTTGTGGAGGTAAGCATCAGTCGTGGATTAGCTGAAGTCGCCAAGTTTAGCGGTAGGAGAGTTAACAGATGGGTGATCTAATACACACACACACTGGCGCACCTGCTTAATTCCCTGCTTGAGTTGGCTGCTCCGATTCTTGGCGCTCTTATTTTCGAATATCATAGTGGATTTTGATGTGAAACCACGTGAGCCAATCAGAAGCGGCTCTTGAAGGTCTAACTCAATCTTGACGACCTTATTCGTGTGTGGTGAGTGTGTAGGCATAGTTGGACCTGGCACTTCCCTGCTATAGTTAAGCGTGCTTGCAAGTCGTTATGTCATTACTATAAACAAGTGCCTGTATCAAAGGCCTAAAGGCAGATAAGGTTTTGCAATCTGCTCATCTCTTGTCGAAGTTTGGTTTCTGTAACCTAAGATTACATTGGATTCGTTTGAAGTTACTTCAAATTACGAATTTGATCTTCTGCATAGTATATTGAAGTTTACTGGCACCAGGGAAGGAGTATGTTTCTCGTACGAAGTGAGGTGACAATATGCGTTCAATGGTTCACTGCTCCAATGATGACAGTAGAGCGGTTGTGAAGCCTGTAACTCTCCCTGTAGCCCCTCCTCCCAGTAGTACGTACCATTTTGACGTTTTTTTTTTATTTATCCAAGGCCAAGAACTGTCGTAATAAAAAATAGTGAGGGCTCACGAAATTGACAATGTCCCCTTTTCTGTTCGTAGGTACAGTGGTACGTTAGGATAGGGCACTTTAGTACGACAGTTTCTTGACGTTGGGAACGCTTGCAAGAACGGGCTGCTCCGTGGCGTACTGCTCCTGGGACTCCGGAGGGATACCTACACAAACTTTTTGCAAGGTGTTGCTTCCTCACACGAAATTGACATAACTACCTCAGTGCAAAACAAAGGAAGAGAAGTACTACTGGAATGTACTGTATCCCAACTGAGAGTTACGTACACAGGCAATGAGAGATATTACAGCAACACACCATCGCACACAGCAGAGAATTACGACACAGTGTATCCTGTTTCCTCATGATATCTTGCCCTGCCTTAACGTGACAATCAAGGACCCTGTTTAGGACGATATCCTTTACATAATACGATACATAAACAACAGATGCACGATCTATTAATTTTAAACCTCAATGACTGCACATGATTTGTCTACACGGCTTTGCAGCAGTCTAGAAGAAATTTTAATCTGACATTTATAACGCAAAAAAGAATGATCGAGTCTACTAATAAATCAAAACAATAATTATCCAAAATTTCTTACATGCTTCAAAATATTTCTCTTGTAACTACTGAGTGTGATTCAAAGAAGAGAATTCTGCAACACCGATGATGGGGTATTCAACACTCTTGTTCAATTTTCCTTGATTATATACTTGACGTTTTTTAAGGGATTTCTATGAAAGTAATCTTTTATTAACATAAAAGAAAACGGAGAATAAAAAATGGGAGCCATAGTGACAGTCTGAACAGCAAGAGGTGTACTGAAGCAGTAAAATAAGTAGATTAGTTGATAGTCCATTGAAAAGAGGTAACCTAATTTTATGCAAGCTACTGGTGCATGATATTTAATTAAGCTGAAAAATTGGACAGTTAAAAATTAAGAGTTGAGCTGCTGGCCTAACACCCAAACCAAGCCGTATAACGACACTTATTATGTGAATTGTACTCATTTTTCGGAAAAGGTGATTCAATGCAATTATTTAAAATTATCAAGGATCGAAATCGTCACGGTCCCGACAAGTCCTAAATATTCCCCAATAAAACGTCAAACAGCAGCAGTTATATATATATATATATATATATATATATATATATATATATATATATATATATATATATATATATATATATATATATATATATATATATATATAAGGCACAACTCTCCTAAACACGAGAGTGAAGTATACAACTTTAGAACACTTTCCCACCAGGAGACTCGAACCCTAGCCAGCACAGAAGCCTTCCAGCAACTGGCATAACAGGTACGCCTTAACATATATATATGTATAACATATATATATATATATATATATATATATATATATATATATATATATATATATATATATATATATATATATATATATATTTTTACTAACAAAACACAAAAAAATTATTTTTTTAACCAAGCAGTATCGTATTAAATAGTAATTGAAAATAATACCACGAGGACCATATAGGAGGATATACCTCGCTTACTATAGAGGTAGAGGTATAGAACTATATAGAGGTATACCTCTCGTATACCGAGAGGTATACCTCGCTTCCCGGTGTATATACACAAGAGTTTACTTTAGTTAGTCCTGGACAATTTCCAGGAGTAAAGTATCCCTGCTGGTTGGTCATTAACCTATTGTGGTGGTCTTAACCCGCCAGAGGTTGATTGGCCTTGAGCCCAACATCTGAGCCTAAGCTGAGGGTTATGACCGACGAGGAAAGACTACTGGAATTAAACCTGACATCAGAAGCCAGAAAAGTTAGGAAAGACATGATTACCACCTACAAAATTCTCAGGGGAAGTGACAGGGTAGATAAAGATAAACTGTTTAGCGCGGGTGGTACTCTAACAAGGGGACAGGTCGAAACCTAGTGCCCAAATTAGCCACAGATACACTAGAAAGTATTTTTTCAGTGTCAGAGTAGTTAACAAATGGAATGTATTAGGCAGTGATGTAGTGGAGGCAGACTCCATACACAGTTTCAAATGTGGATACGATAGAGCCCAAAAGGCTTAGCAACATGTACCCGAGTTGACTGATGTTTGAAAGGCGGGATCAAAGGGTCTAAGCTCAATCCCCGCAAGCACAACACACACACACACACACAGTAATCTGTACAACAGTTGATTAACGGTTGAGAGATGGGACCAAAGAGTCAAGAGCTCAACCCGCGCAAGCACAAATAAGTTAGTACAAATAGGTGAGTGTACACACACACACACACACACACACACACACACACACACACACACACACACACACACACACACACACACACACACACACACACACACACACACACACACACACACACACACACCGAGGGAGGTGCCCTCGCTGAACCAAACAAACCCATTACACGCGGCCCACCGACTTGTTTGCGAAGTTTGTGTTGTGAACGCTGGAAGTTACTCGCCCCAGCTCGCCTCTGGTCAGCTGCCGGGGCCTTATTTTGTGGCGATAGAAAGGAAGGAAAGGCCGCAGGTAGGGATGATGAAAGAGGCAGAGGAAAGGAAGAGAGCGAACAAGAGCTAGAGGAAAGAGAAAAAGAGAAATAGTGGATTTAAGAAGTGGAGAGTGCTGATGAAGACACACAACAGATGAAAATTCTATAATTTCTATAATTTATAATATGGGTAAACAAAAAATATTCTGCTGTATCTCTTGCTGAACCCTTCATCTAAGTGCCATCAATCACCTCTTGATGAAACTAAGATAAGCTCGTTCGTGCGCAAGACACCGCAGTGATTTTGATGAGGTATGGTTCTTCGAACTGCTTTGCGAAGCTTTAAGCACATGATATCTCAGCGATTACCTAATCCCTGAGATATCAAGTGCTTAAAGAGATATCAGCCAATATGGGATTACCTTACCTTAAACGGACTCTAGGAGTAGTCTTTAATGTAGCAGAACTTGCACAAGCCCCTTCCTTAAATGGTGCCAGCGTACAACAGGGGTGGTGCGCCTGCTCCATTGAATAATATAATCCCCCCTGTAGGATGGGTGGGGATGTAATCCCCCTGTAGGATGAGGGGGGGGATGTAATCTCCAGTAAAATGGGGAGATTGTAAAGTGGGAATATAGTCAGGTCATTAAAATAAATTCGTACGAATGCGGGGCCAGGAGCTGAAGACAGACCCTGCAAGCATATCTTCCTAAAGGATTTAAGATGAGTACATACACTCACCCGCACGCAAACACGCCGCCTCTCACGCACACCCTGCGTCTCCCACACAAATGACAAAATGACGCAAATTTCCCCCCAGCAGACGCGGGGCGCGTCTAAACTACCCAACAGGGACCTCCCATCCCATGTTCCTCTTCCTCTAATGACTAAGAAACTTTTGCCTGTGAAATGGTGCCGCAGAAACCTTCACAGAGGCACCTGGGCGAGGAGCCACGCCAGACTTGACACCCTCGCCTCCAGCCTCGCCTCCAGCCTCGCCTCCAGCCTCCAGCCTCGCCTCCAGCCTCGCCTCCAGCCTCGCCTCCAGCCTCGCCTCCAGCCTCGCCTCCAGCCTCCAGCCTCGCCTCCAGCCTCGCCTCCAGCCTCACCTCCAGCCTCGCCTCCAGCCTCCAGCCTCACCTCCAGCCTCGCCTCCAGCCTCGCCTCCAGCCTCATCTCCAGCCTCGCCTCCAGCCTCGCCTCCAGCCTCCAGCCTCACCTCCAGCCTCGCCTCCAGCCTCGCCTCCAGCCTCGCCTCCAGCCTCGCCTCCAGCCTCATCTCCAGCCTCGCCTCCAGCCTCGCCTCCAGCCTCGCCTCCAGCCTCGCCTCCAGCCTCGCCTCCAGCCTCACCTCCAGCCTCGCCTCCAGCCTCATCTCCAGCCTCGCCTCCAGCCTCGCCTCCAGCCTCGCCTCCAGCCTCGCCTCCAGCCTCGCCTCCAGCCTCATCTCCAGCCTCGCCTCCAGCCTCGCCTCCAGCCTCATCTCCAGCCTCACCTCCAGCCTCGCCTCCAGCCTCGCCTCCAGCCTCGCCTCCAGCCTCATCTCCAGCCTCGCCTCCAGCCTCACCTCCAGCCTCGCCTCCAGCCTCCAGCCTCGCCTCCAGCCTCACCTCCAGCCTGGCCTCCAGCCAGCCAGCCTCGCCTCCAGCCTCCAGCCTCGCCTCCAGCCGCCAGCTTCGCCTCCAG